AATATAATACTTTTAAACTATTCTCTCCCCCATATACTTCAATGCCGTAAACATATTTCATCCAGTTTTTCTCAGTCTTACCCCCACCCCGATGCCAGCCTCATTCTACAACAGTGGCACCATATAGCATTTTTCCCTTTGTGACTGAGATACCTCACTCAGCATAATGTCTTCCAGGGTCACCCATTTTGAATAATATTGGATGAGTTCCTTGTTTTTCGATGCAGCATAGTATTCCATTGTGTGAATATACCACAGCTTCTCTACCCATTCGTTTGTTGATGGGCATTTAGGCTGTTTCCAACTCCTTGCTATTGTAAACAAAGCCACGATAATATTTTTGTATGAATTCTTTTGGATAACAGAGACTCCTGCGGGAGTTTTGAAATGCTTCATGAACCCAAGAGGTTTTTTATTATTTTTTTAGTTTTATCTGGTTTTTCTTGTAATCCATATTGAATAAGAAAACGGAGTATTTTACACAGGAATTCTTGCTATATCTTCTGTTGTTCCTAGGTCATCTTACAAGACCAGAAAGTTTAGCTTACATTGATATGTCATATGACATCCCTATTTATGGAGATTCTGAGAAAATGACCTACACAGAACAGGCCAGCAAAAGGCATCATTGCATGAGATTGACATGGTAAATAATTTTTCTTTCTTTCAAATTTCATTAACAATTATATGTATGACAGCAGTCTAGAATAAGAGGCACATTGCAAAGAGAATTGGGGGATGGCAATGGGGGAAAAGGAGGTAATTGTACAACAATTAATGAAAAAATAGTGAACTGGGGATGGAGGGGGAGAGAGGTGGTAAAAATGTGCAACAATGAATGAATGAAAATCTAACTTTAATGTAAACTTTAATTAAAATAAAATGAATTTAAAAAAACCCAAAGAAACAGTTATACCCTTCATCAGAGGACTGACCTGTTGGTGAGGAGGAACTTGGGAAGTGTGGTAACCTGAATGCACACCCCTCCAGAAGCCTTTCACAAGGCTGGAGTGTGTGACCAAGCCCAAAAAGCACCTCTTGGATCTTGAGGGCTTTGCTTTCCTCTGGCCCAGCCTGGAGCCTGGTGGCTGGCAGTGGAGCCAGGCAATGGGAGAAATGAGACACAGTATAATTTGTGGGCTTCCTCAAACTGGCCTGGAGGACCAGCTGCACCTTCCTGGCCACTGAAGATGTCCAGGCCTCTGCACTGCTCTGTTGAGTTCCCCCCTCACCTTAACGTGGACCTCACAGCTGGGGCCTTGATGCACAGTGCCTCCTTGTTCCTGGCTGAGGGATCTCCTCCACTGGGACTCAGATGGCCACTTGCTACTTGACTTATACTCTTCCAGAGTTTGCATCTCCCATCATTTGAAAGCCTGATGACTCAAGTCAAGATGATAAAAACTACTAACTACAAATAACTCACCAAACCAAAATCACCAGGTCTTATCTAGATGGCTACAGTACAGTAAAGCACTGGCGATTGTCACTCAGTGTTCAGCAATTTAGACTTTTGCAGCTGCCTTTTCGTACACCTCCACGGTGGGTGGCCCAGTTTCATTTTCAGTTATGAGAGTATCTGTTAGGACACGTCTCCTTAAAGCTGCTCCTGAGACCTCGAAGGTCATCAAACAGGTCATAGAGGCCCCTGGGGTTCCACTTAGGCAGAATTTAAAGTTTTTCCAAATGTCTTCCTCACTCAGACTGCATTATAAGTACTTAAGCACTAACTAAGCATAATGCTTGTACCTTTCAGTTAGCAATTGCTACCAACCAGCATTTATTGAAAAGCATTTATTGAATGTCACACCTTACTGGTCAGAATGCAAGTTACAGATGTCATATGTTTGTTGATTTCAGCTTTAAAATATCATTTAATTAGACAGTCTTTCTTAAAAAAACCTACACGGTCATTTTGGCTAGGAAACTAAGTGTATTTTACATAACAATTTATTGCTCATGAAATGTCCTATAGGAGAGTTAGAATACTTAGCAAAGTTAGAATTGATGCTATAAGTTTCAATATTTGTCTTTAAAAATGAAGACTGTCTAAAAACAACTCTTTGAGGCAGTAAATATCTGTTACTAATCTTTCTAATGTGATTAAACCAAAATGGAATAATTTTTATTTAAATGCTTACCTTAACTTTCAAAAATATACAAGGAATATTAAACATTGAAACTGTATTTTCTTTTTCTTTTCAAGCTTTATCCATTTAAATGACTATCTAATTGAGAACACAATGCACAACATGACAGTAAATTCTGTTACCTCCCTTTTGAATTATCTTACTGACAAATTAAAACGAACACCCTCAGCAGATGTTATTGAGAAGTGGATTAGCGAAGAGAAGCCTGAAGTCACTGATAAAAAGGTACTCTCAAGATGAAATTAAGAGTGCTGATTGGTCAACAATTACAGAATGTTGACTGTAAACTATAAATTATGCTATTTTCTATGTACTGGAAAAGCAGAAGAAATATTCGGGGAATTTCACATAGTCAGAACCTGCAATATATATGTGAAATGATAGAATGAAAATCAGTGTGTTGATAGCTCAAAAACTCAACTTGGAACCAACTCATAGCTGATCCTGAGTTTTTGAGACTTTAAGTCAACCCAGGAGGTTGTCCATCTTCCTCTCAAGGAGCTGCTGGTCGATTTGAATCATGTGCTTTTGGGTTAGTAGCACAACTCACATTATAATAAGTCACATTATTATAAGTCACATTATTATGTTATTGATTATAACACCGTAGCTTCTTAACATATCAGTGAACGTCAAATAAGAAAGAATTCACTATGTTGACAGTTGTTGTTATTGTGTACTGTAGAGTTGGAACAGACCCTACGGTGGGTTCTTCAGAGGCAGTTGATCGCGTGTGAGGAGATTACCCTTCCTTTTCCCACAGAGAAGCTGGTAGCCTCGAACCTTTGGGATTGCAGCGCAGCTTCTTGCTAGTAGGCCACCAGAGCTCCCTTGCTTAAATATAGATTTGGAATTTCTTCCTCTTTTAAAAAATTACATTGGTTTGTTTTCAAAGTTTGTACACACTGTGTTTCAAGTGTTACTGGACAAATTAGGAATCCTTTTGCCAGTCAGATCAATGAGACAAAGACAATTGCTCATGCGCATATACTTTAGCGAGATAGCTCTCCAAGACTGCCTTGCCACCTCCAATGTAGTCAGTTTTTATGCATTTGCAAATTATTAATGATAATTAATGACATTATAATCTTATGTTCAATATTACAGGGTTTTCTATCTGGAAAGGCAATTCACATTTTACTAAGAAAACAATGCCTAGCTTCTAAAAACACTCCCCACATCCTACAAGCAATATCCAGACACTAACTCATTTGCCTCATTACTATTTCTCTTCCTTTTGGATTCTTCTTTTGGGAAATAATTTTGTCCTGAGACAAAAGGTGCTTTTCATCTCAATATGAGATCCTTCTTACTTTTCCAAACAATGACATTTGCCTAGAATATGAGATCTTGGTCTTCAGCTGGTGTTTTTAATGGTTCAGGGGGAAAAAGCCAAACCACAGAACAGCCCTATTTAAAACACTAGTTTAATTAATTTATAGGAATACAAACACAGAAAACTTAAACATGCGAATAGTGATAAGAAGGCAAAACAAAATGCTGTATCGTATCACAGAGAAGCTAACCAGGGATTGAAACTCGAGCAGAGTGTAAAATACCAAAGTTCATCAAATCTTATGCTGGAATTTAAACACAGTCCTGACACAGGGCTTACCCTTCAAAGGGAGCTCTGGTGGCTTAGTGGTAAGGAGCTGTGCTACCAACCAGAAGGCAAATAGTTGGATTCCTCTAGTTGCTCTGCAGGAAAAAGATGGATAATCTCCTTCGGTGCAATTACTGCCCCTAAAAACCAGCTGGGGGGTCAGCTATGAGTCAGTTCAAACTCCACAGTCCATAACAATAGCCTTCATAAATACCTACTATGTTTCAGCCCCAGTGCTGACATTGGGTATGTAGTGATAATTCAGAGAATCAAGGTGCTACTAATGCTTAGTTTGAGTGCTGGCAAGAGGACCTAAGGAAGGTGGCATAAATGGAGTAGAGGAGCAACGTTCAGATCAGAGGTGAGAAGCAAATCATAGAAACAAATGTTTGGGTCACTAACCTCTTGGGAGGATAATGATCGTGTAGATACAGCTTTCTCTGGGATGTTAGAAATGAAGTATGAATTTGACTTTTTATTTTTGTATAACTAAGAGAAAATTCATATTTTATATCCGAATTTCCCAGTAAGTTTTTCCCTAGCTTTGGCCTTCATGATAACTTCATGCTTAAATATCAAAGCACATAACAAAATAGTTTTACCTGGTCTCATCAAGTTTTATTCCTTCACATCGCAAAATCCGCCCTCCTCTCCCCTAAGAAATCCAATCATGTGGTTTTAAGATGTGAGTCACTTTGCCTTAGTTTCGCTTTGCTTCAAAAGTTTAATAATCACATCCCCCTTTCATTGCTTCTCTCTCACCCTGATTTTAAATTCTTTCGTTTTACTAAATATTATCACATTTTAAAGTGTTATTTTATAATTATGAAAGTAATATATGTTAGATTCAGAAAATTTAAGGTGGCTAAAAAAACCTCAGAAATATAAAAAGGGAGAAAAATCTGCTACATAAAGAAAACTGCTTCCCAGGAGCAGGTGGGTCTCATATTTTATCTACTGTTTGATTACCTGTTTGTCTACTTAGTATTTTGTGTATTGTCAAGTACCATCGAATCATAACTGACTCATAGCTGACCCTTCAGTGGATTTTTAGAGGAAATTAATTGCATGGGAAGAGGCTGCCCATCTTTCTCCTGCAGAACATCTAGTGGATTTGAACTACATCCCTTTGAGATGGAAGCAAATCTCCTTACTATTAGGCCACAGATTATATTATTAAAAAATCTTCTGAATTAATATGCATTTCAATGGCTATATAATATATGTATACAATGCTATAAAACTTGTCAGCCAATTCCTACTGCCAATAACTTCCACACTGCAAAGAACCTTCTCAATACATTTCTAGCACATCTCTGATTTTTCCACCTAAACAAAATTGAGTTGGAAGTATGCATTTTTAAACATATTTTTTTTATTTTATGCTGGTTTACTTACAAAGTTCATATACATTATTTTTCACACTGGATCTTTCTCATTTCCTTTACCCACCCCTCCCTCTACTCATCAGATTGTACGACCCTGTGATTACTCCCCTGCCCATCCTCACCCCTCTGCTCCTATAATACCCCGCCTTGTATCCTCATATATATTTTACTAGTTATCTTTCTATTTCTACAATAATGGTTTTATATAGTATTTGTCCTTAAGGGACTGAGTTAGTTCATTTAACATAATGCTCTCCAGTCCCTCCCAAGTTCAGTTGTGATTTTCGAAATCATTGCTCCTGCCTGCTGTGTAGTATTTGATCTTTGTAACACTACACCTGTGCCTGTTACAGACAGTACCTTTATTGGAAAAGCAAGAAGAAGATGAATCTCTCATTCCCATGTTTCTCACAGAACTGATTTTGACGGTCCAGTCACTGATCTTTGAACCTTGTTTGGAAGATTTTCTGGTGCGTATTTCTTTATACAACACCCTGTGCAATGGATATATGTTACTATGTTGGAAAATTAAGCATCTGTTTTACTATCAAATTGTTGGTAGTTGCTTCTTCTCCTAACAGATTATATAATAAGGATTGTTCCACAGATGGCACTACACTTACATAAAAATTATCTGTTTCGTGGTTTCCCCTTAATTTAGAACAAATAAAAAAACTATTCTACACAAAATTAAGAATGGACTGTAGGTAACTCTCTAATAAAGAGTTCAACAGGCCATTCTGCTGTAAATATAGGCTTTAAAATACGGTTTTCCTGGCTTAAAGTGTGCTATGTTTGAAAGCCGACAGCCTCTAGAAGAAAGGAAATTATAAAAATGAGCTGAAATCAATAAGATAGAAAACAGAAAGACAATTGAAACACCTTTGTGGGATGTCAACTGGCTCACCCTTAGATTCTCAAGACCCCCACTGTTGCTTGCCATGTAGTTTACTATATTAGCAGTTCACAGCATGAATTTTTCTTTTCAATACCAGCTCAAGAATCCCTTTATCAAGATGAATCTAATATCTCTTTTCAGGGCTTTTACTTGATTCAGTGCAATCTACCATGATACTCTCCCTTTTGATTAACTCAGAGTTAAGTAGAAGTTTTATGTCTACAAAACCCCCTCACCTTTACCATGGAATGTTATATAATACTCAGAATGACATCACATTTCTAGGTCCCATAGATACTCAACAGGGTTTATACACCAAAGGAAAGAAATGTTGATCACTTTCTTAAATTCTTCCATGCACGAAGAATCGAAAGTTCTTCCAACGGTAATGTGTTATATTAGCAAATCAGTCAACCAGAGAATATATTTTCTGTTATTAACTTGCATCGTTTGGTGCAAATAGCATTAGGACCTCTAGACTCCACTCTCATCTTTACAGTGAATAAACCATGTAACTTTGAGGAAACCAGTTGCCTTTCTGTGAATTGGTATCTGTATCTCTACGGTGAGAAGGCAAATGCATTACAGGGTTGCCTCCAATGCCAGCAGTCTCTGGTACTGTGATTTATTAAATAAACATTTTGTTTAAGACACTCCCCATGATGGACATACTGCAAGATCCCTGTGTTGGAGCCTCCCTCATGAGTTTCCATGGTGGAACATTGGGCTGGGTGCCCCTCCCAACCAGAAGACTCATGGCCTTCACCAGCGAGGCAGGTGTCCTCTGCTGCAGATGACATGAGGAAACTCCATTAACAGCTTCCTGGTTTTCCATTTATTCTCATTCAACAGCCCTCAGGGGGGGAAAAAAATAATACACTTTTCCTGTTCCCTAATGTAGGACCTTGCTACATACACAATTTCTCTGGTTTTAAAAATGTCCTTATCTCTTGTATCACACAAGCATTTTTAGTTCATCTTTCTCCCACAAAATGCCTGGTGGATTCCAACCACCAGAACTTTTGTTAACAGCCTGCTAGAGCCCAATACTTTAGACTAAAACAAAAACAACAACAAACAATACCACATTGCTAGTGAGTCAGCCGCTATCATGTTTCCACAGTTGTGCCCCATTTATGGAAGAAGAGTGTCCATCTTTTGATGACTTTCATAATTATACATAATCCGAGAAGTTGGACTATTACGAATAGGAAGGTAGCACTAGAATTGGAGTGAGATTCAACTTACATTATGTAGATGACACAACTTTTGTTGCTAAAATCTAAAGGACTTGAAGTAACTACTGAAGAAAATCGAAGACTATAGTCTTCAATATGAATTATGTCTCTACACTAAGAAAACAAAAATCTTTACCACTGGACATCATGATAAATGGAGAAAAGACTGAAACTGTCAATGATTTTGTTTTACTTGGATCCATAACCAACATCCATGGATAAAACAGTCAAGAAACAAAACAACATATGGGGAAAATCTACTGCCAGGGACCTCTTTATACTAAAGCTTGAGGATGTAAGTTTAAAGACTAAAGCAGGGTCTGGTCCAAGAGGTGTGTTTCCATTTGCTTCATATGCATGTGGAAATTAGAAAATGAGTAAGGAAGACCACAAAAGACAGTTAGTGAACGATGCTGAATATACTAGGGACGGCCAAAAGAACAAAAAAGATGTGCAATCTGTGTGCTCCTTAGAAGTGGAACTGGTTTTCAGGAGGGGCGAGTCCTTGTTATGTTGTTATGTCCCGTCGAGTC